ATTTTGACCCTAGTTAGGCCTGTTTCGACTGCTTCACCTTTCGCTAGTGCGACTGCTACTACAGTGCTGGACAAAAGTATAGGTTCACTCTCAAAAATGCCATAACTCACTCTGTTGTCAATGAAACCAGAGAACAACAAAATCAAAAAAGCTGCGAACTTGTGGGATTATTGATAGTAGAATAACTGAGGAGAATATTTCCTTACTTAAATGGAAATAGATGTTTAAAGCCGTTTCAGGCTGTGGAGCTTTACTCATAGAAAATAAGACGGACTTTACCAGGTTCAACGTTGTCTGGGTGTGCTCTAGTCGAATTTTTTGCTGTTCGTTCAAGACATCATGTCTATAATAAAACTAGTAGGCGAGTTGCATAAACAAACGCAAGATGAACGCACAAACAGAACAACGCAAAAAGCTGAAGCGCCTCAATTTTCAGGGCATAAGTCGAGCCTTCCGCAGCGAACAGTGGCGCGAAAATGCTTTCCAACTGATTGCTCTCTGAATATAGCAAATCGAAGACTCAGTGCATGGTGATTGTTCTTCCTGCGTGTATATCGTGTCTTCAAGTATTTTTTACTTGTTTGATGCCATCGGTGTACATTTGTGCTTTCTTTCGTTTTCCAATGATGAACGGAAGCTTTAGAAACGGGAGCAAAAGGGGTACTTTTTCGTTATCCGGACCCATTTTTCCATAATGTTCTTTCCAAGCACGTGCTTCAGTCCGGAAATTTTTTTTCATAAATTTTGTGAGAACTGTCTTCAGGCCACGTGTCAAGTTAAAAATTAATATGTTGAAGGCCAGCTTGACATGTTTTTCAAAATCATATCCGCTGAGGTGCAAGAGCATTTGAAGTACTCGAAAGCAGTTCAGACTTTTTTTTATAAAAGCAAAACAGTTTCAAACGTTTTTGAAACTTCTTGGTAGCTTTTAACGATGATTTAAAAAGATTCTGCTCTTCGCATTGTATACTTCGTGCGAATTTAGCAGGGAAAGAGTATAAATGATGGCTGTAGTACTGGGCTGCCGATTATTTCCTCGCATAGATGATAGAACACTTCTCTGTTTTGGGGTAACCATCTGTTTATCAAAAACAAAGTGTCATTTTCGTAATGTTGAAGTTCACTCATAAAACTGTTGACTAAAAATCTTCATTATTGAATAAAAACAGATAGAACTTGAATCGATAGGTAAGACAAACAAATTCTTGGTTGAACCTGTCAATAGATGACGCGTCATTTTTTTGACACGTGGGAGGAGGTTTACTCTCCATTCTGTGAAGTTTTTACCAAATTTAGTACAAGGAAAGATGCAATTTTTATTTTTGAAAGAATGGTGGGTCCGAACAACGGAAAAGTTCTCTTATGAACAAATAAACGTGGTTTTATTTTTATTCCTAGAAAACTTTATGATAATGCGTTTATCTGATGTTTCGACATGAGGGTTTGCTATCGCATGTTAGCGCGTTGTTAAACATCGGTTTTATTTTTATTCCTGAAACTTTATGAGAGATGGTGTGGAATAAAATTGTCATGTCTTCAACATCAACTTGTAAAGCTCGTCGCGAAGCGCTATGAATGACTAACCTCATTCAAAAGTTACGAAGTTTATATTCTTCCCAGGACTGTTGAGTGGACTTTGGTTGGGTGAAAGTCACTTCAAGAGGAGTGATTAATTTGAATGTAAAGGAGAGGGCAAGAAAGAGCAACTTTCTACAAATATAAGCTTTTGTAATCTGAATAAGTTCTGGTTTCTGCAATGTTCTCAATTTGCACTCAAGGGGGATCTTAACACATTGACGACCATGCATATTTTAAGTTGTCATCCTTTTGGAACCAAGGCCTTTTGGCGGATCAGCCCACTTTTTCAATTACTGCCAATTATAATTATGCATTCTGCCATCTACAGTATGCTTACAGTAGATCTGAAAAGCTGACAAAAAATGCAGAAATCAATCCTAGATTCTGTGCAAAAGAAAGCTCATAGAGTGAGTTTATTTCAGGTTAGCAGTCATTTTACCAAGATTCAAGCCTTTACACACATGGTGCGTCAAGTGGTCCCACGCGGTAGTCATTGCTTGACACCCATGTGGATCAAGCGGTCGTCAATGTGTTAATAATAAAACTCCATTTAAGCTTGGCACTGTAAAACCTGTTTGTTCTTTTATTTTCGCGCAAAGTCAATTTTAAGCTGCACAATCATAAAATCCGGAGCTTCTCTCATGTTTTAAAAAGCCGCGTTTCGTTCTCTCTGAAAATGAGTGACAGTCATCAGAGCATTGTGTATTAGGACTAAAAATATCAAGTAAACTTTGCATCTTCTAAACGTGATGCGCAACTTGATATTCAGTGCGGCTGGTAGTTTCATTTTAGAGCATATAGCTTACGCCTAAGGGTTCCTTCACACTACGCCGCAGGACGCGGCAGCCTGCCGCGTGGCAGTGAAAGTACGCCCATGACGGCACGGTCTCGCTATAAACACTCGCAAAATACAGGGAGTAGCGGATATAGAAATACAGTGATAGACAAAGTGTGCTGCCATAGGCGAATTCTCGCCGCGATTGCAGCAGCGTACACTGCGTGCTGCGGCGTACGCGGCGCACGCGGCAGGCTGCCGCCTGGCTAGTATGAAGGAACCCTAAATGTTCTTGAACCTTGAGATGCGGTTAATCAAACGTCACTCAAAATAGCCTTTTTGATGTCGCTCATTAGCGCAAAACGAGCATTTCTGCTAATATGTGTGATGCTACTCTAATTCAGTTTTGCTGGTAAAATAAAATAGCTATACTTATCTTGAAAGTAAGCAGGCATAACGAGGAAGGTTGACTAGACTAAAAGTTGTAAGCATTGTAGAGCTCTTACGTTTCATTTTTAAGTGACTGAATTCAACTCTGGGGCCAAACCAAAAAACGGCGATTTCAACTTCGATATTATATGCAGGAGGGCGCTGTGCCGTTATGTGACCGGATCGGACCAAGGCTTTCTACCCTCCGGACCGGTAATTTGATATCAAAGTAATCCAGGAGGATAAAAGCACCGACTTGATTATCGGTTGTCTTCGAAAAGTTATTGGAAGAGGCTCGTGCACATTCATTATTTCGACTATGAAGACTATGCGTTCGGCGCATGCCCGCAGAGGGAATTACGCCGAATTTTGAATGAATCCAGGTCCTCTCCCTTCGCAGAGCCCAAATGTTGATGAGCTCACTTCAATGCCTATAGAAAAAACTGTTAAATAGTTGCAAGTTTCTCATAGCTTGATGTATTTCATGGAAGCCTTTAGGCGAGACAGGCAATCCCCGAGCGGAGGTCAGGTCATACGTCATCACATTATACTGTGAACGGCCGTAGCACGGTATTGAAACAAGTTCGATGACAAAATAGGCAGTTCCTGGTTGCAACCTCTGATTTTTGCCAACGTTACAATCAAGGAGGTTTTCCAACCGAAAGTGACAATTTTGTTTGTTAAAATCACTTTTTGGAACAACTAGCGTGCGCATTAAGTTACTACGGGGTTATCGGAAGTTCAGCATATAAGATCTACTTGGATGAGAGAAAAAGTCAATTTGAAATGCACAGCAACATGTAAGCCGTATTTCTCATAATTGACCAAGGCTTTTCTTAAAAAGCTTGATTTTTATAAAACACAATTAGCATAGATGCTAGTAACTGCGTAGATTCCGATACCTCAGAAAAACTTGTAGAATTATTCACCTCATTGGGTCCCTTGTTAGCAGCTTCTATCCTTCAGAATAGGTGGTACAAAAACTCTTGTCATCTTCCCATCATACTTGTCAATGCGATCCTTTTGATGTGCGCTGAGATATTTGCTGGAATTTACAACCGCTTTCACCATGCCTAATTTTCGTTAATTTTCAGAATGCTTATGACTCCAGCTCAAGAGCAAATCATTTGCAAATTAATGTAACTCTCTGTAACTGGAATAAATATTTGAGGTGACCAAGTTTATTCGGTCTTTTCGAACTTGTAGACAATTTGCGACACATTCGATTGAAAACAAAACTTGCCGTATTTTCAGAATTTACGAGTGTGCGCTGTCGCAGTCTAAATCTCAAAAGCTTCATATTCTAGAGAGAAAGAAAAAACCACTGATCTATTTAATAAGACTAGTGCCATTGATAATCTAATTTTATTTCAAGATTCTGGAAGTTCTGCGGTGATTGGCGCAACTTTGTGTTTTGCGATTTTCTCAGTTCGATACATTGAAAGAATAATTTAGCAAAATTGAAAGAAGCCAGCAGAAGAGATAGAAAAGTTGCTCTATTTAGGAAATTTGTTCTATCTGCTGATCTGAGACGACCAGCCCGTTCAGGATGGGGGGAGGGGGGGACAAAATTATTTCAGAAACAGTGTGGCGTCAGCCAGGCGCTTCGAAAATTTTTTTGATACGTTTCCCAAAACTTTAGCAGATCCATATCCCCAAAATTTCAGGAAAAGGGAAACGTTCCCCGAAAAAAATCTTTATGAGGTTAAAATACTTTTTTGACAAATTTCAAAGAATTTGAATTTTGATTGTTTACAAGGTTTGCATATTTTTGCAACTCATGTAACTTTTAACATGTAACTTAAGTGACTTTCAAAATTTCGCAGTCCATTCTCGGGGGGGGGGGGGGGGGGGTTCCCCTCAGTACGCCACCGCTGCTGGGTATTGAAAACTTGCAAAAGCTAAATTTTTTTTTTCAAAAATAGCCAAAGTCAGACATTGTGAAAACAGATAGTTGCAAGTTTCTTCAATTATTCGATGCTCGTCGGAATAGTGGCACATAGTTGCCATTCTTGTTGTACCAATTTATTATCTTTACCTACAGGATTTTCTAATGATTCAAGAAAAAAACCGAACGAAACCAGCATGCACGGTGGATATGAGAACCGACCTTTATTGCTGTTTGTCACAAACTATAAAAAATGCCATTTTAGGGCACATATCTGAAGAAATTTGTGTTTTGATTATTCAAATCAGATTTGTTTTACATAAGAAAAGCTTTTGCTTGACATTGGAACGTTCTGATAGCTTCACAACCTGTGAAGATAAGCACTTTCATCTTCTACAAGCATGAAACTACTCCTGATTAGCTTTCTGCTCTTATACATGTACGGAACAACGGGAGGTACTGAATGGCAGCCTTGTTACAAAGGCTGTAACAAAGCATGCATGAATAAGGTAAGATACCATCGTTTTGCGCATAGCATTGGATATTAGCAAATTATGTCAACAAAAAGCTTTCACTATTCGAATAAAACTTGATTCGCGAATACCAAAAGTGATTTGCTTCATGCAATATTTTAGGGATACCTGTGTGGAAGATGTGAACTCGTGAAGCTAATTCTCGGCGGCCGTCGTCCTCTCCGGAGATGCATGTGTCGCAACGAAAAACGTTATTGCGCAATCACAACCACAGTTGCGACAACCCGCGCTACAACAACAATTGCAGCAACTTGCGATCGTGGCCCTTGTAGGAGCGACCCATGTAACAAATGTTGTAAGGCTGAGGTAAGATATCATTATATTCGCGCATACAACTGATTTCTAGCAAAGCTAAGGCAGCAATGGCATTGAAGTGTAATGCCATAGAGCCGATTTTTGAGTGAGTGCGGCAGATAATTGAAGAAAGAAGAGATTTGGTTGTTTTTTATATTTCAACACGCAATAAGAATGCTGAAGAAGGAAGTTTATGCCAACACGCTTTCAAAACTCTACAAGCCGATGCTGCTATAAATTTATGATTCCTTTTACAAGTGTAGTTATTTGCACAGTCATACAATGTATGTATCGCTTTTAAAAATCCGCACTTTTACCCAATGGAGTGCCCTCCCTCTGATCCACTGCAAAAAAGTTAAGCAACAATCTCCCTATTCTGTCAACTTGTTTCGGTTGAAGGGTAGTACCTACAATGAACACATTTTACTAGTCTTTTGACTATGTTTTCTATTCCTTACTTTTGTAGTTTCTTTTTTTGGCTGCCTCCTCTCCATTTTTGCCCTTTCTTTAGCTGTAAAAAGAGGCAAAAGCAAAATTCTGTCTAAGTTTGTGCTCCACCAGCAAAGTGCTTTGTGCCAAAGGAAAGCTTTCAAATTAAACAAATCTTGATTCGCGAATATCAAAAGTGATTGCTTTATGTGATATTTTAGGGATTCTTTTGTGGAGCATGTTACCGACCATACCCCTGGCTTAAGATGAAGATGCATTGTAGGTGTATCTATGAAGTGGTAAATTGCTGGCTTGATGAAGACCTTTAAAAATCTTCCTTTAAAGTCACATTCACATTGATTGTTCCCAAACAATGTGAAGTAAAGTTTCAGTTGTCAAGTGCAAACAAGGTCAGTGTACTTCAGTCATTGAATTGTGATACAAAAGTATACGCAACAAGTAAACTTCGCAACATAAACAGAATTAAGCAGCAACTATATTCGCATCTTTCCTAGATCGTCTCTATTTGAAGAGCACAACATTTTGAGGATTGCTTACAGCTAACTGCTGAGAGTTGACCTTTTTTTCTTCTGTTAACTACCAATGGATGTGACAAATTCTCGGTTCTTTGGCGGCTCGCTAACGTCACAACAAGAATTCAAGCAGATGCTTGTTGTGGCTTGTTTAGCTGGACACCGGGATTGGTATATCCTTTATTCGACTAACGTTTCGGCGGTATCGCCTTCTTCGGAGTCTGAAATTGTCGAATGCATAAGTGAACTATCCTATCAAAAACCGCCTCAAGACTTAGGAAGACGCCCAGTGCGTCATTGAGTCAAGAACTTGAATGTGAATGCAAAATTAAACTAATGCTTACCTTAACAGATGCCGACAAACTGGTGTTGCAGACCACTATACCAGTAACTAAGCTCATACTTTCCTATATACCTATTCGCCTGGCCTCAACTTGACCTCAGAAGCCGCAAAGGCTCTGATAAGGCGCCAACTCATTAGTGATATCTATGCACTCATCTTTTCTATTCAAATTTGGACTTTTGGCGGTAATCCAAAAAGCTTCTAAAGTCTTGCGTGCTATGATTTCGGATTTGTACGCTAAGATCTTGACCTCCACGCGTATCTCTGCGCCATTATGGAACTGTCTGCGATGCTTGCCAGCGGAGTTAGAATTCAAGCAGTTTTGAGCGAAACTTTTGTACAAAAATGTTTTTGACTGTACTACTACTGTACCCCGATGAGCTTTTCTAAGAGAAGTATTGAGTTCCTCAGGAGCTTGCCTTCATTTTTGCATAGACATTTCTATTTGAAAACGAACAGATTTTCATTCTGTAATAGATGAATGTTAAGATAAGATATCTGTGTGAAAAAGAAGTACGGTAGAAATCGCGCTTGAAGCCGCGATACTGCCGCCCCACCTGTGTTTTCATCTGGATAATTGAGTTCATCTTTGAGGCGCTCGAACTTGTTTAGACCTCGACGGAGTGCGTTTTTTGCGCGGACGAGTCTTCCGTAGTTGGTTTTGCTTTCCTCCGGAAGTGTACAGATCGCCCAATAATGGCAGTGTCTACGGCAATGAAAACATAGCGTAGACCATCTTACGCAGCCTCGGTTGCCCAGGACACCTCCAAACAGATATCACATTTTCTTTGATCTCTGAGGATGCGCACACGGCTTTCCACTTCTTGAACTTCTGGGCATGAATCGGAGTAGACGTCCGACCGCCTTGCAAAAGACACATCTCATGTGCCTTTCGAACTCTGTGTTTATGAGCCCGTGCTGGAATCTTTGCGGAGCACATCTCGGTCTGCGTTCTAACTCGTCAATCAATATTTTCCAGTCATTCACTTCTTGCTCCACCCGGCGAATTTCGAGACTCAACTCTTGGCTTCTAACGATTCAAACTTACTTCTTCATTAACATCTTCTTCCATAGGTTCTACAAGAGGCTCTTCATTTTCGGGTGAGTTGCTCTTCTTCAGAGCCCGGCACGAGGTGAGCAAATGACAAGCTGGAAATCGTTTTGGGGCCAAAAAGCAAAGGGGATATCGTTTTTGCGGGATCTGGGGCGGATCCCCGGAAGAAGATTCCAAGTGCAAGCAAAAGAAGGTCGAATCATGCTTACCTTTACATCTAATTTATCAGATGGTAGTTTTTTCATAAACCTCAACGCACAGCAGACTTTGCGCGCACTATGGTTGCCGCTATTTGCCGCATGCGCGACGTCGCATGAGCGATGCCGTTGAACAGCATGATTACATGATCAGTACTCAATGCAGGCGTAATGATATAGCACCAAATTACGTAAGCGAACAAAGAGAGGCTAGTAGAAGCAAAGCATGAAATGTTATGAAAAACTCATGTGGATGGTGGTGTAATAAGCATTTTTTCCAGAAATTTTGCAAAACTGGTAAATGAAAATGTGAATTCAACTGGCTCGTTTGCAGCGCACAGATGACTATACGGTATGAAACTTGGTAGGTACATGAACACGAGCCTGCAGGGCTTATCTTAAAAGTTTCATTGAAAAAGTATGTGAACGAAGATTGTGGCAAGTTTTGTCTGAAAATTTCCCACTATCAAGAAAATGGAAAAATGGCTCGTTTGCAACGCAGAGGTAACGAAATCGCGCGGGTTTCGGTGTGTGTATGCGCAATAGGACTAAGTAATAAAGTATGAAATATTATGAAAAACTTATGTGAATGAATAGCGTGCTTAACTAATTTCCAAATTAGGTCGGCATTTGCCGACCTAATTCCCACCTGAGGTCGGCAAAACTCTCAATTCACATAATTTTTTCAAAATTTTTACATAAATCTGTTGTTCACCTAAAGTTGACTATATGGTGACATTTTGTTTTCGAAACCCCTCCTCTTGTCTTTGTTAGAGCCCAAAATCGCATCAGCGGCCTGGCTTTCTAAGATGGAAAGCGCGCCCTAGTTAATCGAAACGCGCGGAACAACGTCTCTCAGTCCTATGACTGCGTTCCTTCGATATTTTTTCATTCCTTCATCATTTTCCTTGCTTACTCTTCTTCCTGTTTTCCATCTTGATACAGGTGAGGAGTATTTAGAGGAATTTGAGCATTTTGGGCGCTTTTGAGCGCTTCTAGGCGAAGTGTGGCCGGTGCTTTCGTTCTACAAGCACAAAGCGTCATTTTTGGGCTCAAGAGGGTATTCGTAAAAACTATTGGGGTCAAAGGGGAATTTGTTTTGGAAAACCCCGTCTGCCCACCTCGTGCCGGGCCCTGCTCTTCTTCCCTGCCTCGAGCTTCTGCGCAGTTAACAGAGCCACCTTTGCATTGCTTCCCCACCGCATCTCGAGGCACGGTTCTTGGTTTTTGGCTTGATTCCACCCACCTTGCTCCTCATCTTCTTCGTCCATAACCTCCACAAAACGTTCTTCGTCCTCGTCGTGTAGCTCGCGTATCTCATTCACCTCGTTAAAGACTTCAATAACTTCCACGACGAGTTGTTCCTCTTGCGTAACATGTTGTACCATGTCCTCCGGCCCCACTTGTAAAATGGCCTGTTCTAGGTCTTCTTCTGAACGTGCACGTGACACGGGACTGTTTCCGTATCTTCAAAGGTTTCTTTTCTTTCGCTCACACCGCATTCTAACTCGCCGCTTTCGGACTGTTGGTGGTACCTTTTCGGTGTGCACTTTTTTTCATCGATCTCTGAGTGTTGGTATGCTCTTTTCGCACGCGTGGCATTTTGTTCGGCACTTCCTGATCATGATATTTGTAATGTTCCCACCGAATGTGTTTCGGTTTTCTCGCATCTCTTCTACTTGGACTACGTTCATGTTTTTCCATGTTCTGAATGTCAGTTCTTTCACTGTTTGTCCCTTCTACAGATTTTGAAAGATTGTTCAACGTTTCCTCGCAAGCGTTTCTTAGCGTGTTGATTGCATTGGAAAATGTATGAAAGACCTCTGCCAGGTGTTGTAATTCTTGTTTCAATTCTTTGTGGTCCTTGTCGTCGCTCATATCTGAAATACGCCTACAAAATAAAATAAATCTGAAATACGCCTCTACCGCAACTTCTACTATTTTTATAGTGTTTTCAAATTTCTTTGGCGTGAGGTACGTTAGTGGCATGTATGTTTTTCCTTCGGCACTGGAGTAAATAGCTCTCAACAAGACCGCAGCACAAAACGGAAAGGCCAATACTTTGAAGAAAGTGCGAAAAAACAGTCTGGCAGCGCATAGTCCTATCGTTTGCAGCAGAGCGTACGAGACCAGCAGCGGTACGGCTACGATACAGCGCGATGACCACTTTTATACCTTTGAAGATATGCCTTGAAAATATGCGAAAAGTCAGGTCATTCTATCTCACCATATGTTGTGCTATTGCTTTTTAGGGCTAGTAGAATTTGTGAAGGAATATCTCCTACATACTTCAGAATGCCTGATATGATGAAATGATTTTTCGAATTTCCGCAGGAGATGGAAGAATTGATAAGCTGTTGTGCTGCGCTCAGATGGAAATACAATCTGAAGTTGGTTTATTTGGAGCTCACGGAACTACAAAAGCATTTTTGCCGCAGATAACTTCGCCTATGGTTTGTTTTGGCGAGGTGCATGTGATATTTGCAACCGCTCCTAAAGCGCAATTGTAGCATCCTTCAAGGCGGCATTTTGTATCGTGCAAGTGTTATCATCAACCTCTAAGGCGGTGGCCTTGATGTGTTCTTTTTTTGCTAAGGATTATTTCGGCAGAAACCATTTGTGGTATTTTTGCTACTATGTTGCCTTTGTAGCTATTTATGTACCACGAGGCTGTTTTTATGTTTTTTTCTTTGTAGTTGATGTTGAATTTGATAGAATTCGTGTTTGAAGGCACTGTCCACCCTAAGCTGAGGGTGTTGAGCTTTTGGCAGCATATAACAGTAGGGCCTCCTATCAAGCCAATGCCCAAGTTCTGGCGCAATATGCCGCTTCGGAAGCGAGACAATCGCTTCGGAACAGCGACGATGCACGAGGACCCCCATCCATGCCCGCCCATTTGTGCGCGCTCATCCAATCACCGTTTTGGAGATCCCATATGGGTTCTTCGGAATGGGTATTGTCGGGGTTTTCGCGGATTCTCGACTTCATATTCTGAATCAGGGACATGAGAAGGCCCTGAAACGACAAAAACCTGGAAATCGAGAATCTGGGTGGACGGTGCCTTTCATGTCTTTTTGAGGACATTGACATACTGCTTTGCTTTCTGCCGCCGTGCATACACAGTTGTCTGCTAGAGCGCATTCAAATGAATTTGCTGTATCTCTGGAATTGCAAGTGAGATTGGGTGTGAAAGTAGATTTCCAGAAGGTCGTATCAACGCATTTGTGATAAAGTGATCATGCAGTGACGGGGTAGGAGGAAGTGAAGTTG